AACCTCTGAGGATGCCTGCCATAGATGCAGGCAAAACGTCAGGAGAGAATGCTTCTCGAACATGGCTAGGCAGCCCTGAAAACCTTCAACAACCCAGTGATTCTGGCCATGGAAGCGTTCGACAACATTGCACTTCTGTTCGCTTGAATAAAAATAATGTCAACAGAGAAGGAAGGGGTGGGAGTGATGGTAGCAGTGATGGCATTTAAGTAGGGGGGGGGACTCCTTCCCCATTTGGGAGCTGGGGTCACCGCCTTCCCCTTTCACCCCCCACAAGCGGCTCTTTGGCTCTTCCCACCCGCAGCGCAGGGGGCAAAGCAGGCTGCGGCCGCACTGAAGCCGGTTTGCGTCCAGCCGCCGGTCCCAGCGGGCGCAAAGGAGGGGGTTGCTGTCGGTTCACATTTGCAGAGATGCGCCTCATCGCTCGCACAGCACCACGCCATGGAGCTGCCGGCAGGAGGGGGGGAGGCACACAACAAGAACCCAATCCCCCCCCCCTTACCTGAAGCAGCCCTGGCCAATTGCAAAATTTTTTGCAAAAACTTGGCCTTTGCAAAGAAGCACCAACAGTCTGGATCTGGGCCTTGCAATTGGCAGAAATGGGAGTGAGCACAAGCTGACCGTGAGTCATGATGCAGCAGGTAAAAAATCTAAAGCAATTCTAGGGATCTGGGGATGTTTAGCTCAGAGAAGAGAAGGCAGAGAGAAAGGGGCAGGAGAGATATTGCTTAGAGATTGGAAAGCAGGTCGCAATGTTTGTCTCCCATGGCTCCTCCATGCTTCCTCTCTGATGCTCCAGAGATTGGGACTCAACTGAGCCATGGATTCAAATGGCAGGAAAAGGGATGCCACCTAAACAATAGGAAGAACCCAGTTGCTGTCAGTTTTCCGAGCCATGATCCAGCAGCATTCTCTCCTGACGTTTTGCCTGAATCTATGGCTAAAGTTCCACCTTGTCTCCTGTGCTATGTTAATAATACAATACAATACAATACAATATATTGTATATACATATAATATTTATAGTAGTATAATGTAATGCAATATAATACTAATAATGATAGTATGATATTATAATTATATATTTATACTAGCTGTACCTGCCACACATTGCTGTGGCCATCCTTCCTCTTTTCTCTCCTTCTTTCTCTCCTTCCTTTGCTCCCTTTTTCCTTCCTTCCTTCCTTCCCTTTTCTTTCCTTCTCTCCTTCCTTCCTTCTCTACCTCTTTCCTTCACCCCCCTTTTTCTTTTCCTTCCCCTTTCTCTCATTTCTTCCTTCTCTACCTCTTTCCTTCTTTCCTTCAGTCTTTGCTTCCATGCTTCTTTCTTTCTTTCTTTCTCTCTCTCTCTCTCTCTCTTTCTCCTCTCTTTTTTTTCTTCCCCATTCCTTCCTTCCTTCACTTTTTGTTTCCATCCTTCCTTCTCTCTTTCCCAAACCTGGAGGGAGATCAGCACCATGGCCAGCTCCTTAAAAACTGATCCAGCAACAGCTTTAACTGGGTCGTTGTGAGTTTTCCGGTCCACCTGGCCGTGTTCCAGCAGTATTCTCTCCTGACATTTTGCCTGCATCTCTGCCAAGCATCTTCAGAGGTTTGTGCAGAGGTCTGTTGGAAATGAGGCAAGTGGAATGTATATATCCCTGTGGAATAATGTCCAGAGCGAGAGAAAGAACCCTCGTTATTTAAAGCAAACAGGAACGTTGCAATTAGCAAGCTTGAATAGCACTGAGTAGCCATGAAGGTGCAAAGTCAATCAGTGAGGGTATGTGCGTGGAAGTTGTCTGGCTGTTGTTGCGTGGAGGCATCCATCTATGGCTAAACTGCTCCGAGCCTACGGGGAGTGGCGGTATATAAAACGGATTAATAGTAGTATAATGTAATGCAATATAATACTAATAATGATAGTATGATATTATAATTATATATTTATACTAGCTGTACCTTTCTTTCTTTCATAGAATCCTAGAATCCTAGAGTTGGAAGAGGCCTCATGGACCATCCAGTCCAACCCCATTCTGCCAAGAAGCAGGAATACTGCATTCAAATCACCCCTGACAGATGGCCATCCAGCCTCTGTTAAAAGCTTCCAAAGAAGGAGCCTCCACCACACTCCGGGGCAGAGAGTTCCACTGCTGAACGGCTCTCACAGTCAGGCAGTTCTTCCTCATGTTCAGATGGAATCTCCTCTCTTGTAGTTTGAAGCCATTGTTCCTGCGTCCTAGTCTCCAGGGAAGCAGAAAACAAGCTTGCTCCCTCCTCCCTGTGGCTTCCTCTCACATATTTATCCATGGCCCTCATCATATCTTCTCTCAGCCTTCTCTTCTTCAGGCTAAACATGCCCAGCTCCTTAAGCCGCTCCTCATAGGGCTTGTTCTCCAGACCCTTGATCATTTGAGTCGCCCTCCTCTGGACACATTCCAGCTTAGAGAATATCTCTCTTGAATTGTGGTGCCCAGAATTGGACACAATATTCCAGGTAAAGTGGTCTAACCAAAGAGGAATAGAGCATGGGGAGCATGACTTCCTTAGATCTAGACACTAGGCTCCTCTTGATGCAGCCCAAAATCCCATTGGCTTTTTTTGCCGCCACATCCCATTCCTGGCTCATGTTTAACTTGTTGTCCACGAGGACTCCAAGATCTTTTTCACACGTACTGCTCTCGAGCCAGGCATCATCGTCCCCCATTCTGTATCTTTGCATTTCGTTTTTCCTGCCAAAGTGGAGTATCTTGCATTTGTCCCTGTTGAACTTCATTTTGTTAGTTTTGGCCCATCATCTCTCTAATCTGTCAAGATCGTTTTGAATCCTGCTCCTGTCCTCTGGACTATTGGCTCTCCCTCCCAATTTGGTGTCATCTGCAAACTTGATGATCATGCCTTCTAGCCCTTCATCTAAGTTTCTTTCTCTCCTTCCTTCCTACCTTCTTTCCTTCCTTCCTTCCTTCCTTCCTTCCTTCCTTCCTTCCTTCCTTCCTTCCTTCCTTCCTTCCTTCTCTACCTCTTTCCTTCACCCCCCTATTATCCTAGTAAAGTCTTTCTGTATGTTTTTCGGATCTCAATAATGATGTCAAAAATGCACAGTATGATTTTACACAGGCTTTTTGCAACATTAGAACAGCAAGGACAAATATCAGGTAAGTAGAAGAAACCTTACATAATCAAGTAAGAGGTAAACATTACATTAATCTGGGAATCTGCTATTGCAACACACCCAATGAAGTGGCTTAGACCCAGTATTAAAAAAAGATTAGGTCTGAGTACACTCCAGTCTACTTGGAATGGATGAACCTCATTCCAGAAGAGTGTTGAAAAACTGGTCCCAATGTGACCATCATCCCACTTTCTTTCTTTCTTAGCCAGCCCGGGTCGGACTGAGCTCCCAACTATCAATAGTCTAACTTGCTGTTGACCTATGCGGCCTGAAAGACAGTTGCATATGTCAAGTAGGAAATTTAGGTACTGCCTATGTGGGGAAGCTAATTTAACCAATTTACAATGCCATAAAAAAAAATCTCCAGCAGCATGCAAAAGAATGAGGAAATACTCCATTGGTGTCACAAGTGGATGGTGAAGCAACAGCTCCCCCGGTGGCCAGAATTTGAAGCATAGCCTCATAAAGCTGGAATGTTAAATAGCCTCTGTGTGTCTGTCTATATATGTTGTGTATCTATGGCATTGAATGTTTGCTGTGTATATGTGCATTGTGATCCACCCTGAGTCCCCTGCGGGGTGAGAAGGGTGGAATATAAATACTGTCAATAAATCTATATAAATAAAAATGTAATGCTCGTTTGTGGGATTAACATAACTCAAAAAACACTGGAGGAATTAACACTAAATTTTGGACACAAGACACCTCTCAGGCCAAAGAGTGACCATCACTCATAAAACACTGAAAAACACAGCAGAAGATACTTAAAATCCAAAATATATAAAAACACATTACAACGCATGCACGAAACCACACACACACACATATGCAAACACACATATATACACATATACACAAATATACACACACACATATAAACACACACACACAAAACACAAATACACAGACTGGGTCACAGCAACGCATGGCAGGGGGCGGCTAGTAAATAATAAATAATAGTTAACATGTACTCGGTATGCTTTATTATGCCAATGGTTTGCCTTATGTACTGGCCAACTTTGGCCCTTCCTGCAGGTGTTTTGGATTTTGAGTTTAGTTCAAAACACCTGGAGGGAAGTCCAAAGTTTGCTCGTGCCTGGTCTAGACTATAGAAAGGAATGCAGTCTGGCACCACTTTCAGTGCATTTGACTCAACCTGCTGTTAGGAATTGTGGGAATTAAGAGTCCAAAACACCTGAGGGATGAATAAAGTTGGCCCATGCCTGCCTGAGATAGTTGTCATGGGAGCAAGATGCAAGCCCCACTTCTTGAATCTCTCTTCACTCCTGTTGATACCCTCAACCCAACCCAATGTTCCTGTTGATGCCCTCAACTCTACCCAACCCAACGCTCCTGTTGATGCCCTCAACCCAACCCAATGTTCCTGTTGATACCCTCAACCCAACCCAATGCTCGTGTTGATGCCCTCAACCCTTCCCAACCCAACGCTCCTGTTGATGCCCTTGACCCAAACCAACCCAACACTCCTGTTGATGCCCTCAATCCAACTCAACCCAACGCTCCAGTTGATGCCCTCGACCCAACCCAACTCAACGCTCCTGTTGATGCCTCAATTCAACTCAACCCAACGCTCCTGTTGATGCCCTCGATCCAACTCAACCCAACACTCCTGTTGATGCCCTCGACCCAACCCAACCCAATGCTCCTGTTGATGCCCTCGACCCAACCTAACCCAATGCTCCTGTTGATGCCCTTGACCCAACCCAAAGCTCCTGTTGATGCCCTCAACCCAACCCAACCCAACGCTCCTGTTGATGCCCTTGACCCAACCCAATGCTCCTGTTGATGCCCTCAACCCAACCCAACCCAATGCAACCCCACGACTCACCCGCAAGAAGGGCACGATCCCGTCCCGGGAGATGGCCTGCAGCAGGCGGGGCGCCCCTGTGAGGCTCTGCAGCCCGGCCCCACAAGTGGAGAAGAAGGATCCAAAGACAATGACCCATGGAGAGGGCCAGGCCAAGGTGCCCACCACCAGGTTGCCATTGACGGCCTCCCCGAACCTGCAAGGAGAAGCACAGCAGGGCTGGTCAGGCTCCGAGATGGGACTCCTCTCTGGGCAAGGCTGGCAGCAGAGGGAGCGGAAACCTTCCCCTATCCAAGGTGCAAAGGCTGGATGGCAATCTGCTGGGAGCACTCTGATTTAGTGTTCCTGCTTGGCACAAGGAGTTGGACTGGATGACCCTTTTGAGACGCTTCCTGCTCTTACACTTGGAGCCTGGTGAAGCCTCCTTCTCAGAAGGTTTCTAAGCAGAGGATGGATAGGGTCATCTGTAGAGAGGGCATGCATTGGATGACTGGATGGCCTTTGGGGGTCCCTTCTGCCTGTAGGATTCTATGATATATCTGTCATTCCCACATACACACACACACACACCACAACATTCTATCTATCTAGCTAGCTATCTCTCCCAATTATATCTATCATATCTATGGTGGGATGGCCATTGATTGTGACCTGTCTGCAGAAGCAGGTTGGACTAGATGGCCTTTGGGAGTCCTTTCTACCTCTTGGATTCTATGATATATCTACTATATATACATCTATCTCAATTATATCTATCATATCTATGGCTGGATGGCCATCTGCAAGGAGGGCTTGGATTGAGCTCTTCTACCTTACAGAAAGGGGTTGGACTTGATGGCCTTTAGGGATCCTTTCCACTTGTAGGTTTCTATGATATATCTATCATATCACTATGATATCTATGGCTGGATAGCCATCTGTGTGGAGGGCTTGGATTGTGCTCTCCTGCCTGGCACAGGAGAGTTGGACTGGATGGCCTTTGGGAGTCCCTTCCACCTGTAGGATTCAATGATCTATCTATCTATCTATCTATCTATCTATCTATCTATCTATCTATCTAATCTATCTAATCTATCTATCTATCTATCTATCTATCTATCTCTCCCAGTTACATCGATCTATTACACTTTTGAGGATCCCTTCCACCCCTAGGATTCTAATATCCCAATTATATCAATCATATCTATGGCTAGATGGTCATCTGTGGGGTGGACATGGATTGTCCCCTCCTGCCTGGCAGAAGGGGGTTGGACTGGATGCTCTCTGAGGGTCCCTTCCCAATGTATATGGGTTCTATATGGGTGAAGAGCTGGCCTGATCCTGCTCCGCACCAAAATCCATCCATCTATCTATCTATCTATCTATCTATCTATCTATCTATCTACCTACCTACCTACCTACCTATCTACCTATCCATCCATCCATCCATCCATCCACCCACCCACCCACCCACCCACCCACCCACCTCCTTCCTTCCTTCCTTCCTTCCTTCCTTCCTTCCTTCCTTCCTTCCTTCCTTCTTCCTCTCCTGCCTGCTTGGTTGCAGTTGTTTTGCAAAGCCAGAAAAGCTCATTATGCACCAATGACCCAAAAATGTCGCCAGCAGCGGCAGCAGGAGCACCTTGGGTGGCCTACATTCAGGGGGAGGCACCTGAGATGGACTGATATTTGGAGAGGCAAGCGGGCCCTTTTGCGGTTGGTCATTTCCCATTCTCTGAGGCTCCAGCAGAAGGTTGTGAGTGAACCTGGCTCTGGTTTGGGGGGGGGGGGGAGAAGCAGGGAGTGGGTGCAAGTCCAGGAAGGAACCCCCAATTGCTGGCAGCAGGTAGACTCACTTGTCCCGGAGCACCACTCCCTCGATGCAGGCTCCAAAGAGGATGACCGAGCTGATGTCTGCAGAAGGAATAAGGAAAAAAGGAAGGAAGGAAGGTAGAAGGCAGAGAAGGAAGGAGAGAAAGAGGAAGGCAGAGATGGAAGGAGAAGGAAGGAAGGAGACGGAGAAGGAAGGAAAGAAGGAAAGAAAGAAGAAGACAGAGAAGGAAGGAGGCAGTTGTTGTTGTCGGCGGACTTGGCCTTTGCAAGCCGCATCGAGTCCTTCGGGAGATTTTGCGGGGTGTAAATAAAGTTAATAATAATAATAATAATAATAATAAGGAGGAAGGAGAAAGGCAGAGATGGAAGGAGATGGAAGGAAGCAAGAAGGCAGAGAAGGAAAAAGGAATGAAGGAAGGAAGGAGGCAGAGAAGGAAGGAGGGAAGGAGGAAGACAGAGATGGAAGGAGAAGGAAGGAAGGAAAGAAGGATGGAAGGAAAGAAGGAAGGAGGAAGGCAGAGATGGAAGGAGAAGGAAGAAAGGAAAGAGAAGGAAGGAAGGAAGGAAGGAAGGAAGGAAGGAAGGAAGGAAAGAAGGAAAGAAGGAAAGAAAGAAGAAGACAGAGAAGGAAGGAGGCAGTTGTTGTTGTCGGCGGACTTGGCCTTTGCAAGCCGCATCGAGTCCTTCGGGAGATTTTGCGGGGTGTAAATAAAGTTAATAATAATAATAATAATAATAAGGAGGAAGGAGAAAGGCAGAGATGGAAGGAGATGGAAGGAAGCAAGAAGGCAGAGAAGGAAAAAGGAATGAAGGAAGGAAGGAGGCAGAGAAGGAAGGAGGGAAGGAGGAAGACAGAGATGGAAGGAGAAGGAAGGAAGGAAAGAAGGATGGAAGGAAAGAAGGAAGGAGGAAGGCAGAGATGGAAGGAGAAGGAAGAAAGAAAGAAGAAGGAAGGAAGAGAAGAGAGAAAGAAAGAAAGAGAAGAGAGAGAAGAAAGAGAAAGAAAGAGGAAGAGAGAAGAACAGAAAAAAAGAAAGAGAGATAGAGAAAGAAAGAGAAAAGAGAGAAATAAAGTTAATAATAATAATAATAATAATAATAAGGAGGAGGAAGGAGAAAGGCAGAGATGGAAGGAGATGGAAGGAAGCAAGAAGGCAGAGAAGGAAAAAGGAATGAAGGAAGGAAGGAGGCAGAGAAGGAAGGAGGGAAGGAGGAAGACAGAGATGGAAGGAGAAGGAAGGAAGGAAAGAAGGATGGAAGGAAAGAAGGAAGGAGGAAGGCAGAGATGGAAGGAGAAGGAAGAAAGGAAAGAAGGAAGGAAGGAAGGAAGGAAGGAAGGAAGGAAGGAAGGAAGGAAAGAAGGAAAGAAGGAAAGAAAGAAGAAGACAGAGAAGGAAGGAGGCAGTTGTTGTTGTCGGCGGACTTGGCCTTTGCAAGCCGCATCGAGTCCTTCGGGAGATTTTGCGGGGTGTAAATAAAGTTAATAATAATAATAATAATAATAAGGAGGAAGGAGAAAGGCAGAGATGGAAGGAGATGGAAGGAAGCAAGAAGGCAGAGAAGGAAAAAGGAATGAAGGAAGGAAGGAGGCAGAGAAGGAAGGAGGGAAGGAGGAAGACAGAGATGGAAGGAGAAGGAAGGAAGGAAAGAAGGATGGAAGGAAAGAAGGAAGGAGGAAGGCAGAGATGGAAGGAGAAGGAAGAAAGGAAAGAAGGAAGGAAGGAAGGAAGGAAGGAAGGAAGGAAGGAAGGAAGGAAAGAAGGAAAGAAGGAAAGAAAGAAGAAGACAGAGAAGGAAGGAGGCAGTTGTTGTTGTCGGCGGACTTGGCCTTTGCAAGCCGCATCGAGTCCTTCGGGAGATTTTGCGGGGTGTAAATAAAGTTAATAATAATAATAATAATAATAATAAGGAGGAAGGAGAAAGGCAGAGATGGAAGGAGATGGAAGGAAGCAAGAAGGCAGAGAAGGAAAAAGGAATGAAGGAAGGAAGGAGGCAGAGAAGGAAGGAGGGAAGGAGGAAGACAGAGATGGAAGGAGAAGGAAGGAAGGAAAGAAGGATGGAAGGAAAGAAGGAAGGAGGAAGGCAAGAGAAGGAAAGAAGGAAGGAAGGAAGGAAGGAAGGAAGGAAGGAAGGAAGGAAGGAAGGAAAGAAGGAAAGAAGGAAAGAAAGAAGAAGACAGAGAAGGAAGGAGGCAGTTGTTGTTGTCGGCGGACTTGGCCTTTGCAAGCCGCATCGAGTCCTTCGGGAGATTTTGCGGGGTGTAAATAAAGTTAATAATAATAATAATAATAATAATAAGGAGGAAGGAGAAAGGCAGAGATGGAAGGAGATGGAAGGAAGCAAGAAGGCAGAGAAGGAAAAAGGAATGAAGGAAGGAAGGAGGCAGAGAAGGAAGGAGGGAAGGAGGAAGACAGAGATGGAAGGAGAAGGAAGGAAGGAAAGAAGGATGGAAGGAAAGAAGGAAGGAGGAAGGCAGAGATGGAAGGAGAAGGAAGAAAGGAAAGAAGGAAGGAAGGAAGGAAGGAAGGAAGGAAGGAAAGAAGGAAGGAAAGAAGGAAGGCGGAAGGCAGAGATGGAAGGAAAAGGAAGGAAGGAAAGAAGGAAAGAAGGAAGAAGGAAGGAGGAAGGCAGAGATGGAAGGAGAAGGAAGGAAGGAAGGAAGGAAGGAAGGAAGGAAGGAAGGAAAGAAGGAAAGAAGGAAAGAAGGAAAGAAGGAAGGAGGAAGGCAGAGATGGAAGGAGATGGAAGGAAGGAAAGAAGGAAGGAAGGAAGAAGAAGGAAGGAAGGCAGAGATGGAGGAGAAGGAAGGAAAGAAGGAAGAAGGAAGGCAGAGATGGAAGGAGAAGGAAGGAAGGAAGGAAGGAAGGAAGGAAGGAAGGAAGGAAGGAAAGAAGGAAGGAAGGAAGGAGAGAGGAAAGGATGGCAGGAAAGAAGGAAAGAAGGAAGGAGGAAGGAGGAAAGGAGAAGGAAGGAAGGAAAGAAGGAAAGGAAGGAGGAAAGAAGGAAGGAGGAGGAGAAGGAGAGAGGAAGGAAGAGAAAGGAAGGAAGGAAGGAAGGAAGGAAGGAAGGAAGGAAGGAAGGAAGGAAGGAAGGAAGGAAGGAAGGATGCAGCCAAGACAGAAAGGGAAGGAGAAGGAAGGAGAATGAAGAAAGGAAGCAGAGAAGGAATGGAGGAAGAGAAAAGAAGAGAAAGGAAGGGAAAGGGAAAGGAATGGGGCAATGGGGAGCCTCCCAGTCAGTGTTGGCCATCCGCTCCTAGGCTAAACCCTGCCAGGTCTGAGCTCCTTGCCTTGAGCAACCTCAGGGCTTGGCCTTGCTTCTCCTGCCTGTCAAGAGTTTTCCTTTCCTTCATTAGAAACTCATCCATTTCAGTGGCAATGACCTCACTCACCCCCATCACAAAATTGTGCCAATTATAACAGTGTAAACGGTACCTACAATTGAAAGGGAGGGGAGGGAGCATTTTCACGCAGCACACCTGGGGACTGCAGGCGATACACAACTTGGAAAGCTCTGTTTGGACCACTCATGGGACATCTTCAGCCCTCCAGGTGTTGGGAAGGGTGGGAATTCAAGTCCAAAACACCTGGAGGGCTGAAGTTTGCCCATGCCTGACTTCCATAGTGCTATGTTCCCCATGGAAAAGAGGGAGGGGCATGGTTGACCCCCCAGAGCAACAACAACAACAGCAAGGATACAGACTGCGGAGGTGGTGGCGATGGCCATGATGGTCCCAATAGGGATGGACTTCTGGGCATCTCGGAGATCTCCGGACCGGTTGGAACCAGCCATGATCCCTAGGAAAGGAGGAGGAGTGCAAGGAGAAGGGGGGCATGAGGCTGTGCTACAGTCTGGCCCCCAATTGCCCCCAATTGCCAATGTTTTGCCCCCCCCCCCACTCAACATTGGGGTGTGGTCGCTCCTACCTGTGACGGAGGGGAAGTAGATGCCAACCAGGAGGGTGAAGTAGGAGGTCATGTCGCTGAAGACGTAGGGCTGGTCCAGGTCGACAGCCGGGTCCGAAGGGGGCACCGAGGACATCCCCGTCTTCTCGATGATGATCCCTTTGGGCATGTAGCTGCTCCAAAGGTTTTCTAGGCACAGAAAGAGAGAATTGTTGTAGCTCAGCAAGTGGCAGAGGATTTTTCTGTCATGTCAGGGGATGACATGTGAGAGCCGTTCAGCAGTGGAACTCTCTGCCCCGGAGGGAGTGTGGTGGAGGCTCCTTCTTTGGAAGCTTTTAAACAGAGACTGGATGGCCATCTGTCAGGGGTGCTTTGAATGCAATATTCCTGCTTCTTGGCAGAATGGGGTTGGACTGGATGATGGCCCAGGAGGTCTCTCCCAACTCTTTGATTCTATGATTCTATAAGGGTCTGATGGATTTCAAAGTGGTGAGTCTGTCAGAGCTAGAAGAGAATTGCAGTCAGGGGAGGCATATTTTGCATTCTTGTGATAATTCAAGTGAAACCAGTTCTCTTGGGAAACGCCCTTTGGCTGATGGAGAGTTTTCCCAAGAAGCCAGATTAGGTTTGAGAACGGAGGGAGTGAAAAATAGACTAATTAGACGTTCCGAGAGAATCCGTGAGAAGGCCTTGAAGCCCAGGTGCATTCGGCATGATCTCATGGTTACTTGGTTGGGCTTAAATTAAGTGTGTTGGCTTTATGCCACTCAGAGGATGCAACGTTGCCAAGGGATGCAATATTCCTGCTTCTTGGCAGAATGGGGTTGGACTGGGTGGCCCAGGAGGTCTCTTCCAAGTCTTTGATTCTATGAAACGTCAGGAGAAAATGCCTCTAGACCATGGCCATAGAGCCCGAAAAAACCTACAACAACCCAGTAATTCTGGCCATGAAAGCCTTCGACAATACATTAACATTACATTTTTATGTATATAGATAGATGTTTACCTTGCAGTCTACTAAGGAGAGAATGCTTCTGGAACATGGCCACACAGCCCGAAAAACTTACAGCCACCCAGTGTACTAAGACTCCTAGATTGTTTCCCTGTGGACTGTAGTCACTGATGCTAGATCTTTGCCTGCAACCCTTGGGGGCCAGTCTCCTGCCCCACAGAAACGGGGAGAGGGCAGCTGGAAGGTCCAAGTGGGAGGGCAAAGGGAGGGAGATGACTGACCTCCCAGTTGTACCCACTGCATGTACCCACTCTTGGTTGCTGGCAGGCCGCTTCTCCCTGTAGAATCATAGAGTGGGAAGGGGACCTCAAAGGCCATCCAGTCGAACTCTATTCTGCCAGGCAGGAAGGCACCAATGTCCATCCAGCCTCTGCTTAAAAAGTTTTGGTGTGTACTCTTTTTCCCAGGTGGGCAAAGTGAAGAGACTCTGGACCGTGCTCTGACGTACAAGAAGCACTGCCTGGACATCAAGCAAAAAGTGGGCGCTAGAAACAATATCATACGAAAGCTGACTGGCACAACCTGGGGATCACAACCAGATACAGTGACGACATCTGCCCTTGCGCTATGCTACTCTGCTGCTGAGTACGCATGCCCAGTGCGGAACACATCTCGCCACGCTAAAACAGTGGATGTGGCTCTTAATGAGACATGCCGCATTATCACGGGGCGTCTGCGCCCTACACCACTGGAGAAATTACACTGCTTAGCCGGTATTGCACCACCTGACATCCGCCGGGAAGTAGCAGCCAATAGTGAAAGGACCAAGGCAGAGACATCAGCTCATCCCCTCTTTGGGTATCAGCCATCATGTCAACGATTTAAATCAAGAAATAGTTTTCTAAGATCTACAGAGAGATTCGCTGGAACAACCCAGCAAGTGAGAGTCTAAAAGTGGCAGGCTCAAGCCCAGAACCTCAATCCATGGGTGATACCAGATGAGAGACCCCCCTCTGGGCACACAGAAGACTGGGCAACTTGGAAGGTGCTGAACAGACTGCGTTCTGGCACCACGAGATGCAGAGCCAACCTTCAGAAATGGGGCCACAAAGTGGAATAATCCACGACATGCGAGTGCGGAGAAGAGCCAACCACTGACCACCTGCTGCCATGCAACCTGAGCCCTGCCACATGATGCACAAGGGAGGACCTCCTTGCGGCAACACCAGAGACACTCCAAGGGGACAGATACTGCTCAAAGGACATTTAATCCACTACCAAGCTTGCAAAATCTGTGTTTTGCTTGTTTGTTTTGTTAAAAATGTAACACCACTGTCTGGTTGCTCCTGACATGATAAATATAAAGTGAAGAGACATGAACCCAAGTGATGTCGGGGTCCCAAAGGCAGCCCCCCACTCAAGACAGGAGTCTCGTTCTTGCTCGGTTCCAGCTCACGGACGCCGTGTCAGCCAGGGAGCCGTGCATTAAGTGGGCGAAATGTATCCGTCGGCGCGGCCGAGAGCGGAGGCGAAACGCTGGCGCGAGAGCCCGTTTCCCTCCCCGGCGCTCCCGCCGCCCTAACAGCCTGATCCCATGCATTTTTTACTCAATTACTCAAGTAAAGCATGAAATATTAACGATGACAGGAGCGCCGGGAGCTCCAGGAAGGGGCTGGGGAAGGAGGCCCAGGCAGCCACACCTCCGCCTTCCCTTTGGCACCGGGAAGCCTTGGCCAAGGCGGGCCAAAGCCTGGGACCCCTGGGTTGGGGCAGCATCCCCTCCCTCCTTCAAACACACCCGCCCCCAAGCTTCAAGCTTCATCCCCCTCCCCAGTCGTTCCCATGCAAATTTCATCAGAAATCCATCAGATGGAGATTCAATGAAGGATTCCTGCTGGTCAACGAGGCGTGGAAGGTCCTGCCTGAAGCTCCTTTCATGGAACACTAGAGTTGGAAGGGACCCTCCCCTGAAAGACATCAAAAACCCATTCCCTTTCTGCCCAATAGGAAGACACAATCCAAGCCATCCCAACAGATGGCCATCCAGCCTCCAGAGAAGATTTTGCCAAACCCCCCAGAGTCTATATTCCACTAGAGATGGAAGGGACTCCAAAGGCCATCTAGTCCAACCCACAAATTTATAGACAACTAGCTGTACCCGCCACGCGTTGCTGTGGCAAACCTTCCCTCCCTCTTTCTCCTCCTTCTTTTTCTCACTCCTTCCTTCCCTCCCTCTTTCCTTCTTTCCCTCTTTTTCTTTCTCTTCTTCTTTATTCCTACTCTACCTGTTTCTTTTCTCGCTTCCTTTGCTGTTTGGTTTCATCCTTCCTTGTCTCTTTCCTTCCTTCCTCTTTCGTTCCTTCTCTCCTTCCTTCCTTCTTTCACTTTTTATTTCCTTCTCTCTTTCCTTCCTTCTCTACCTTTCTTTCTTTCCTTCTCTTCCTTCCTTCCTTCCTCTTTCTTTCTTCCTTCTCTTCTCTCCTTTTCCCTCCCTTCCTTCCTTCTCTCCTCTTTCTTCTCCTTCCCTCTTCTTTCCCTCCTTCTCTCCTCCTTTCTCTCTCTCCTTTCTTCTCTACCTTTCTTTCTTTCCTTCTCTCCTTCTTTCCCTCCTCCTCTCTTTCCTTCCTTCTCTATCTTCCTTTCTTTCTTTCCTTCCCTCCTTCTTTCCCTCTCTATCTTCCTTTCTTTCCTTCTTTCTCTCCTTCCCTCCTTCTTTCCCTCTTTATTTCCCTATTTCTCTCCTTCCTTCTTTCTCTACCTTTCTTTCTTTCCCTCCTTCCTTCCCCCTTTCTGTGTATGTGTTTTGTGTGTGTATATGCATATATGTGTGTTTGTGTATCTATATGTGGTTTTGCACATGCGTTGTAATTTTTGGGTGTTTTGTTTTGGCTTTTGAAGTCCCTTCTGCTATGTTCATCCCACAAACGAAGGTGACATTTGTGTTTCTCTAGATTGTGCTCTGGCTGTGTGGGAGGGCCCAGGAAGCCACCCCAAGAACGGGAAGGCATGCCCAAAGGCATCCATGGTCATGCCAAAGGTTGGCCTTGAGGCGAGCAGGGCCAAAGGCCTTGTGGTGGTGGGGGGGAGAGGGGGTAGAGGGAGGCAGGCAGGCAGGCGGCAGTGCGCATGCGGAGGGAGACTTGGGCGTGGGGGAAGGTGGGAAACGGAGTCCTTCCTCCTCAGCGTATTCCTCCTAAGGCCTCTGCGCATGCTCCGTGTTTTTCAGGTATTTTACGTTTGTGTTGTTGCTTATTGTTGTTTTGAGGGTTGTTGGTCATACCTTGGGGGAAGAGGTATTAGCAGGGCAAATGTGGTGAGATTTCGTCCGGTGGTTTAGCCATTCATAACCGCC